ACACACACGTCCAGATCTACCCTCCTTACTGCTGTTTTTTCAATGAATGGTGGTCTTGGCAATGGCACCAATCGACTCATCGTTGCTATCGCCAACCACTTGGCGCACGAAGAATTTTGCAGGGGGGATTTTGACGACGAAAGAACCTTAGTTCTCCTGAAAGCTTTTCATACTAACAGGGTTCGGAGTCGGTTCACCTTCGAGCTAGCTCGTTTTTTGTCGATGAGAACTCGCGATGTGTTCAAACGTCATGGGCTACTGATCGACCAACTTCCACCCGGGCCAATCGGTTGGGGTTCCGGCGACAACGATAGTATCGAGGGTAATTATTTTGGGAGTAACGGAGACGAAGGAAAGGGAAAGGGAAGAATGGAGGACGAAGACGACGATGCAGGAGGAAAACATGGAGGAGTGGAAGAAAGCAAAGGGTTTAAGCCAGATGACCTTCCCCAAAACAAACAAAGTAGGGCTAGGGAAGAACTGCCCAGAAATTCTTGTCAAAATGAGGATCAGAATGATGGTAGCGAAAACAAGGAGGATGACGGTGAAAATACTCCTATATGAGCTCGAGCACAAGGTAGTAGCCTTGATAGACGCGTGCAGTTTACTTCTGTTGCTGCCGTTTCTGTCTTTGATTCGAAGGATAGTTTAACCTCCCCAATGCTGCCCCCTCACGGGGTCCCAGTTCGTGGCAGATAGAAGTGCTTTGTGTTTTCAACCGCACTGAGACTGACGTCTTTTCATCGGTCAGCCGATTAGCGCAGTCGATGCTACTAATAAAATACACACACATTGTTGTGTTCTACCCCAGAATGGATGGTGGTTGCACTGTCTGACCCCCCCCGCGCCCGCTGCCCTCGGTGCTGTACACCGATTAACCAGAAAGATGACGACGACGAGTGGGTGTTGAGCATCTCCTCAACAGAAAGCTACGGACCCCACGAGAAGACCCTGCTGGTTTGGGGGCAGATGGTTGTGTACGACACGATAGAGGAAGCGGCCGAATCCCTGTGCCCGGACGCAGACGCCGCAGGGTATGTTCGTCTCATCCGTGCCCTGGACCACGAGGAGTTACGCGCTTCCTGTTTTGCCGGGAAGAAGTTTTTGGGTTCGCAGACTAGTGCTCTCTACCTGTGCGTCGACCCCACGTGTCCGGTGTACTACGCGAAATGCGCGCCGAATAAAGACTGCCGCTACCCAGTAGTGTCTTGTTCCCGTGTGCCGCAAGACGTGTCTAGCTATGACCGGATGGCTGGCCTGTGGAAAGTAGGGGCGAATGGCATTGCTCAGGATAGCGGCAATCTTGGCTGCCCCATCAGGGTCCAGATGGAGAAGACACTATTCAGGCTACGAGGGACTCCCGCCGACTGCACCCAGTCCGCGTTGTGACACCCGACCAACCGGTTGTCTTGGTGGTTTCCTCCGACTGGACTGAGGAAGAACACTCCAACGCAGATGAGATACGCGCCGAACAACTCTCGGTTGTGCTGGAAACCCAGGCGTCTGATGTCTCGGACGTCGAGGACACTCCTGATGATGTCCCTCCCCGTGACAACAACAGGAGTGGCCATGCGGCCGGAGTGCCGGGAGCGCAGGGGGAGAAACACTCGACANTGCACCCAGTCCGCGTTGTGACACCCGACCAACCGGTTGTCTTGGTGGTTTCCTCCGACTGGACTGAGGAAGAACACTCCAACGCAGATGAGATACGCGCCGAACAACTCTCGGTTGTGCTGGAAACCCAGGCGTCTGATGTCTCGGACGTCGAGGACACTCCTGATGATGTCCCTCCCCGTGACAACAACAGGAGTGGCCATGCGGCCGGAGTGCCGGGAGCGCAGGGGGAGAAACACTCGACAAAGGACGACGACGTCGACAAGGAGAACGCGGCTGCCCCTGCAATCGCGACCGAGAAGACGGCGCAATCCGCGAAATGTCTTTGTGTTGCTAACCCGACCGCGGGGTCTTCTTCAGTACAGCACCCCCACGACACCAGGGGATCTTCAAAGAAGGGGGGACGAAACCAACCTCAGAAACCCAAAATTCGGGTAGGGTGAAGAAAACTCGTCGGGTGCTTCGAACTCTGAGGAATTTGGGACAACACTAACCCTAACCCAAGGCGGAACACTTCTATTATGTTGCGGTGTTGGCAAAGTAACAGAAAGGATGACTGCTGGTGTCTGAGTTTGACGTCGTTCACGTAGGTTTCCAATCTAGCAGGTTGTTGTTCTCAAGGCAGCCTGCGCGAAACACGCTGCAACCTGGCGGTTCGTTCGCGACATCAATTGGGGAGGAGCAGGTCCTGCTTTTGTGTATCTCCTTTGCCTTCGTTCACCTGTGGCACAAGTCTTATCAGAGTTGCCTGATGGGATCCATCATTGGGTTCGGGAATCTGCTGATCTCTTGGCTTTCCGGGGCTTTCCGAGAAAGCACCAGGTGGTGTTTTTTTTCGTATGCNCACGCTGCAACCTGGCGGTTCGTTCGCGACATCAATTGGGGAGGAGCAGGTCCTGCTTTTGTGTATCTCCTTTGCCTTCGTTCACCTGTGGCACAAGTCTTATCAGAGTTGCCTGATGGGATCCATCATTGGGTTCGGGAATCTGCTGATCTCTTGGCTTTCCGGGGCTTTCCGAGAAAGCACCAGGTGGTGTTTTTTTTCGTATGCATGTAGTTGAAGGTGNTTGGGGGTCCTTGGTGGCGGAACCATCGTGATTTTCGGCGTTGCCAATGGTGTTAGCGCCGGCGAAAGGGCGTGTGTTCGATTTGGAGGACACCCGACGATGTTTTTCGTTGGAGCGAAAAAAAAATATTTAGCATTTTTGGTGTGCCAACCTGCCCAAAAACTTTCTCATTATATGTTTTTTTCTCAACGAGTACAATCCACTGTTTTAGAACGAGATGGGCTTTGGAGATCAAGGGGTCAACGGGGGAGACATACGAATAAAAATGACATCGGCGAAATAAAAGCTTTTGGCGTGGAGACCCGAGGTTAGGAACTCGAATCCCACACCAAAACATCGCTCTTGAATCATCGTCGCGGTTGCAGTCGCGATATGGCAGTTTTGGTCGAGAGAAAGAAGAGCGGCCTTTTGCTTTTCTCCTTTTTTCCGGGCGCCGCACCACGAACGGTCGACGCTTTGGAGGTTCACAGGTGGTGTAGAGAGAAGTGAAGAGATGAAGGTTCACACAAAACGAAGTGCGATAAATCTTGTTGCATCCTTAGGACGACGGCCAGGACAAGAGAAAAACGGCAAGTATAGTTTAGATGGACAACGCCTAATACGCAGTTTGATGTAGAGGGAACAGGCGATGGTACGAGTTGCTGTGCTGCGTGCAAGACTACGCGAATTGGGTTGTTACGAAGTTGGAGAACAACAGCTGTGACAACCCGGATGCCTGGACTGAGGAACGCGTCTTTTCCATGCATGTCTTCGCACGTACTATCCAGAAGTGCAGAACTCTTTAGACAAGGGAGATACACAAGCACGCCTGCACAAATAGCTCATTTAATCACTCTACAATGCGCGCGCGCATGTTCAAGAACATTTAACGTTTGCCCCGAAACGCGGCGTATAGACTAAAAACAAGAACAATACGTGTCCCTCCAAACGCGGCGAATCGTCTCTCGCTGAGCACACGCGTTGTTCCGACGAGAACGAAATCAACATTTTGCGCCTGCGTCGAATGATATGAAGCTAATCGTTGTTTTGCGGCGAAGAAGCTTCCGCGATTCAGGGTAATCGCGGGGAGGGAGGCAACTTACACACGCGCGAACTGGTCGAGATCGGAGTTATTGTACGATCGATGCATAGAAGGATGTGTTCCGACGAAGGAAAGAGACTCATCAATCATCTAGTTATCAAGTTAGTGTGCGTGCAAAATGCGGCGGAACATACTTGGACATGCACCGCGACTGTGGGTGTATCTCGAACGGATAGTCTTCCTGTGCGTGTATTTTTGTTTCCATAATGCGGTGGAACAAGAGGTTACAAATTGGAGAAACCACTGTGACAACCCGCATGCCTTTGACTGATGGATCGCGTGTGTACCATGTCTTCGCACGTATACAAATTGCAAGAAGACTGTTCGGGAAGGAGAGATGCACAAGCACGCCTGCAAAATCGCTGCTTTAATCCCTCAATGCGCGCGCGCATGTCCAAGAACAATAAATATTGGTTCCCTCGAAACCCGGCGAATAGTCTATCGTGGGGCACATGTGTCGAGATCAGGATAAACTACATGGATTGGTTATGCATTTGTTCCGCAAAGTTTTGCGCGCACGAGAATAATTTTTTGAAACTGTCGTTACGCGAAGAACATGCTTCCTCGTCGGGAGGTTGCAGCGGTGTGGCCCGCACCTCTCGTTGGCAGGCAAAATTGGTGGACTTGCCAATCCAGCCGTAGATTGGACGGGGTTTCAATTTGGTGGAGGATAGGCAACGTTTAGGCACAAATCGATCGAGATCGGAGCAACTTAGTGTCGGCTGCACCTACCTGCTGCATGCTCGTGTTTCGTGCTTGAGAATACCAGTCACCGACACAGCCAACCCTCAACGCCGAAGGCACTAATCAAGCTGAAACTTGCGGAGGGCTTCAAAAGTAGTGCAGGAGGGCCGATAAGGTGATTTCTCGCGTCTCCGGCGTTCGGCTCAAAAAAGTGCGTGGTTCAGGCCCTCTGACTGAAAGTGATCATTCATTAATTCATGTATTCACCTTTTTTTTTACCATTCTGTGAGACCTCTAGAGACCGTATCGGTCTCTTAGATGAATACGCTCGCAGGAAATGACGGATTCGACAAGTGCGGGACGTTCTGACCACGACAGAAATGCGTTCTGTAAATACTGTGGTGTAGCTAATTCTCACACCAACTCATTTGAAGTGTATCTTGCCATGACCATCATATCCAAGAGAAGATTCCCGCTTGTATTGTTTTTTCATACACTTTCGGCATCCTGCACCATGGTCATCGAACTGCGGCAATGTGGTAATACTCCGGGTACATTTTACCTATGTATGCAGAAGGGTAAAACCCTAATGCTCTGTCCAATATTCATTCATCGCGGGCACCCTTATGTTGCATTCCTCTTCTACGTTTTTCGCCCTCGTAATCATCTGTTTGTGCCCCCACTCCGCCCGACGGGGCGCGGAGTGTGTGGGGGGTGTACTTACGTTTGACCTAATTACCATTACGTTCGTGTAGAGATTCTATTGCTCACGACGACCAATATTGGCCTACATCCACCCCAAAAAAAGAGACATTTCCAGGTGAGCACTCTACAAGTACCCCAAACACAGACGAACGTAGCGAAAATAGCTTTTGTGATGTGAAAAACATACTCATCTTGCAAAGAGTGAACGGAGTTGGTGGGTGAACGGGTTCACTAGGTCATGACCGTTTCGTTCTAGGAAAAGAACAAAAGCATTTGTCCTACACTTTGGGGCAGGCTTTACAAAGACATTAGGAGTTTAGCCCACCATATGCTGCAGATGTGCCCGAACCCGGCCATAAATCACCCATGGAACACGCCTTCTGAAATAATTTGAGACGACGGGACGAGTTACTTGGGCAGCCCCACGGCCGCCAAGCGTCCACGCTGAAAACACAGGCGGCGTTGGTGTAATAATAGGCCCCGGGAGCCTGAGCGTGTAGCACGGCTACGGGGGCAGAGCGGGCACGTTGCTACTCCCCGGCAGTGGCCATTGGTAGCTCTGGTTTCCTGCTCAAGAAGCAAACGCCGTGTAATGTGGTGGCGTGTGATGTACCAAGCAAGCAGCAGTTTGGGCAAAACATTAGGCAAGGCAATAGGATACGGACGCGTCCTCTAGGCTAAAGACGAGGTGGGATAAAGGACGTCAGAATTGTTGAAAAAGGCAACAAAATGAAGTGCTTTGTAGCCATTCTTGATGGCTTATGCCGCAAAATACCCCGGAGTCCCTACACCTAAAGAATACACACCAGTGCTTATCCGCTATTTCGCCGCTGATCTTTTGTGAGTGATTTGCGCATCAAGACAGGCCAACCTTGTGTTTGCAATTTTTTACGCCCATGCACCTGCTGCAGAGTGCTGAATATACTTAGACTTGGTGACTCGCACGGTGAAAAACACGAATCTCCAGCCAGCATGGAGAATGGGGGCCGAGAGGGGCAAAGCGCACCAGCATTCGTTCAACGGACCTTTTTCTCAAGACGTCGGGTGTCCCAATCGTTCCCACGTAGTTTATGGACACTTCACCTGCCGACTGTGTCTTTTTATTGTTTTTCAGGAGTCGGCATGGGCACCTCAAATTGACAAGCTGTTGTCGGCGTAGACACGCAAAATGGTACCCCCTCCAGGACAATCAAATACGTTGTATAGAGCTACTGCCCAGAGGTCGTCCTGTCATTGATGGGTCGTTCATGAGCTGCACTTCTATGCCGCAGAGCAGATGCCTATACCTGCATAACGGTAACTACTCTAGGTAAAATAGAATTGGCAACGGAGCTGGCCCAGCCAAGCAAACAAATCCTCTCGAGACATCGTCGTTGTTTTTCACGTGGTGTTGTCAAGCTGCGGGAAGGTGAGTAACCACCGTGTCGTCCTGTAAACGACAAACAAGAGAGCGGACAGTGATCGCCTACTCGAACTCATACTCAAGAGACTACAAACGACACCAAGTTTGAACACAATCAATCCCGAAGGGCGACAGTTGGACGTTGATTCTTGTTGCATCCTATGATACACGGAGCGTTCAATGTCACAGGATAACCACGTCAACCACCTTTGCACGGACATCAGAGACGGATGAAGATGATGATGATGTTGATGTGTTCAGAGCAAAAGAAACGATAGATGCAAACGTCGAAACAAGACAATTAGCGGGTCTGGTGGCACACCGATCCAGTACATAAGCAGTCACACAACCGCCCCGGCTTCGAAAGGATATCCAGCGTTTCGGAGATTGGACTGGGCAACCTTTGGGAACAAATTAATCGAGATCGGAACACGTTGGGCGTAGGGAGCCCCATACAGTTCCTGCGTGTTTCAAGTTCTATACTCCCAACACCGACACAGCAAAGCCTGAACCCATGAGGCATCAGCCAAGCTCAAGCTTGCTGAGGGCTTTGGAGGGCTTGGGATGGTTCTCGTGCCTCGAGGGTAAGGCGAAGAAACGTACGTGGTTCGGAGCTTCTTTCAAAAATGATCATGACCGACAGGCAGAAACTTACACGCTGGAACGTAGTTCAACCTAGAGACCGTATAGGTGTCTGAGAGGATTACACGACACTTGTGAAGCGCGTTTCCTCGTGTCTCGGCTGTTCGGCTTCACAGGTTACTTTTCTTGTGCGATGTATCTCGGTGGTCGTTACGCAGGAGTTGAAACTCTAACGCATTGTGATTCGTCAAAGAGAAAATATGTAGTTCTAATTTGAATCTGCACCAAAAAAGGAAACCTGAGCAACGGTGCGTTACCCGAATGGAGTAGAAAGATATTAATCGCTTCGCAATGGTTTCAGTGTGCGCGATGTTGGCATCGCGTCCCCAATGTGCACTTCTGCTTCCGGTCGTGCATATTGACAGCAACTGAGGCTCCATTCATAACAATCCTTCGATGGGAAATGTAGTCGTTGGCATCTGGGTTTTACACACACTGCGGGAAGTTTAAACAAAGGTAGCATGCTGCCTGAAAGCAATGTTTCTCTGACTGCGCAACATTAGCAGGAATGGCTGCAACCCGTACAACCACAGAACGTCAGCTGCCCTATTTGCAGTTCTGCCTGTGGCAACAGTGCAGTGAGCGATTTCCACCTCGAGAACAATATAAAACCCTACGGTAATGTTTCTGCTGAGTAGAACTGCGAACGCGCGAAAATGGGCATAGTTTGACCCCGAGATCTTGATTCGCCGGTCAATCTTTTCATAAGGTATGGGAACGTACAGCAGCGCCAAAATGATCATTCTCTGGAGCCGTACGAGAGGGCATTCGTATGCCGCTTGCTTGCTGCTTGCCTGCCTCCACTACCGACTGGGGCACACATGAAGTGGAATGTGTAAAGCGATTGGAACTGGCGTTTTCATGTTTTCAGCGCGTCGAAGGTGGCGTAGTCGTATTGACATGAATGCAACAAAAGCGCTGCATGAGGCGCGTAGCACTAGTTCGATAGCGGCATGCTTTGGTAGAACTTTGCAAACCAGATCGTTGAATAGTATTCGTTTTATATCAATTGCAGCCTACAACGTCCAATCAATGCTATGAGATGCTATGTTCCATAGCACTCCATGTCCAAAAAAAAACGCATCAAAAACCCACGCCCGTCTTCTTAGAAGTGGAGCAATTACTTTCCTGCAGAAAACACCCGCGCCTCCTACGCGCCTGGAACGCACTTCGTGCAAATAATAAAGCCTCGTGGAGCCAACCACCTACCTGCATTGGATCTGAGCCCCTAGATTTACGCAAAAGTCATTCATAACGCCAAGAATGTCAAAGTTGTGTCGTGCCCTAACCCGTCACCTGGATGGATGAATGAACGTTGGTGACGCTGCCAGCCCACGCGACCTTGCTGACGACGGGCGTTGGCGGCCCTCGGCAATTGTCGCTGTGACTAAATTTTTTTTGGTATCCTCCGCACTTCGCAACGCAATGTCATGTCTTCTTCCAATGGCGTACGAAGACCTGTAAAAACGGAAACATGACAGTATGCCATAGACATCGCACGAGGGAATGTTGTCGGCAATATTTTTTTCAATTTTATCAAGGATCTTCAACAACATGTATTTGAGGTGTGTCAGCATTGGTATACTGGGTATACTGGTGCCTTTTCTGAATTTGAATGCGGTCAAGAACAACATCTACCGTGTTGCCGTCCATCTTATTCGACAGCGGAAGCGCGTGATCGCTCGCAGCCACACGGCATGGTCGTTATATGGTTTATCTTGTCTAGATCGTTTGCTTGGGCAGCGTAGACACGCACTCGTGTCAGCGTATGGCATGGTCAACGTCATCGGAAGACGCAAATACAGCACATGTAGCTTCACGGCGTATGCAGGGTGGTCCATCAAGGCTCAAGACGTAAAGGGCGTGGCCCTCCAAGACCATGGCGATTGTTTGTCGAAAATTCCGCGAGCCTTCCACAACAAAATCGATATCGAGGACATGAGGCGTGTGAACAGAGCATGGAATTGGACACACCTCCCGTTCCCACCCGAAACTCCCAGACCTCCAACCTCCATCTTGCACATAGAGTATCCCATCGAGTTACGAGGAAAAACGAACATATGAACATGTCAAACGGTCCTGGAATACAGGTACTGTGGTTCTAGGACTACTGTTTCCGTGTTGGGCAGGCGGAGAACGCAAAGTGTCATTGGTGGTTCCGTGAAGAAAACCGCGCAGAAGCATTTGCCCCACTCGCAGTGCTACTTTAACCCCCTTGCTACGCACAGAAAATTTGGCGTCCTTGCGAAATTTCTGAATTGTAAGAAAAAGAGCGAACGACGCCTGCTGATTGGATGGTGCAGACAGTTCCATCCCTGGGTGCAAGTGCAAAGCTTCCTTCCCACTTGAGCCGTCTCTTGTCTAAAATCCCTATCAAGTGTCCCGTCGATCGAATCGAAGGGACACTTGATAGGGATTACAGACAGCAACTGGCGGGAGCGTGGTAAACGGGGCACGAAAAGTAGGTTTTCAAGATATTTCTCTCGAGGAAAAGCGAGACCTTCCAACCCAAGCCCTAGGGTGCCGGGTGCCTCCTATCAACGGTGGGCTAGGTACTTCTTCCGCGCTTACCCTTAGTAGCGCTTTCCACCCAAGGGTAGACAGACGCGGCGCAACTTCGCTGTTGAACCCACGGCGTAATCGCCCCTCGATTCGACCTGTTCATTACCCTCACACTCCTCCACTCTACAAAGCATCCATACTAAACTAGAGTCGTTCCCGTGTACCCTGGCACCCCCTGGTCGAGTAGTTCAAAGGAGGAGACAATCGCGTCATTCTTCGCTAGGTAAAGCAGGTGAAGAAGATGGGGACAAAGAGTGTCCCCGAAAGGCGATCTAGCCCTAAGGGCGTTAATGTTGTGCGTGCCAAATTTGTTGTGTAGAAACAAGCCCACAATCAAGCACGTCACTTGCAGTGTTTTCGTAGTTGGGCTGATTTGCCGCAATTTTCGTCACGACTGCGAGTTTCGACCAGTAGGGTAATCGCAATAGCGAGCCTAGACAAAAACCTTTCGGTAGGCGAAAGGGAGTGGGAGCGGTGCTAGCCAAATGGAGTGAACCTACAGTATAGACGACTCTGCAGAGAGCAGAAAGTAGGACCATTGTCCCGTTTGGGGCGTACGTCGGTTTCGTTGAATAAATTACCATATCAACAATCGGGAAGACACCCACGGAGCTTACTTTGATTCACCCTCAGTACGTCGTCAGGTACCGAAAGTTCTTTGCACGGTCACCGGTATCATGCGGTATGCGCGGCCGTCACACAACCTATGGGACCATGTTAAGCCGTAAATCCACCCGTTCGTCTAGTTGCGCCACACTGACCATGTCGACCTGTTTGTAATGCCAACGTCCACCATACGCGAAGCCCGTGATGATTTTGGGCCACGTGGTACAACAATGACATTACGAACGCCTGAAAATAACTACATTTGAAAAAAGCCGACGAAAATCGTTTGCGTTGGTGGTCTTAAGTTCGCTCTTTTTGCTTATTGCCCCGGGCTTGAGAACATGAGCGAGGAAGGGATCCCCCTGCACCAGACCGGTGGCACGATGGGTGTATCATTACATCAGAAACTAGGGAAAACAAGCACGAAAGGTATAAACACAAAAAGTGGAAGTCACGAGCTACACGTAACGGAAATCACCCAACAAAGTCAGTCAGCTACCGCACTTGCACTACGAGCAACTATGATAGAGCAGGAAGCACCCGACAAAGTCAGCCAGCTACCGCACTTGAGCTACGAGCAACTATGATAGAGCAGGGGTCAGAGCTAGCATGTTAGGGGGCCGCAAAGACTTGGTGAATGTAGTCGAGGCATGGTAAGGTTGCGGCCTGGTTCAACGACATCCTGCTTGATTCTTGTTTCTTGCTAAGAATGCAACAACATGCATGCGCCATTCTTCCGAAAGTTTGGTGTGGCGAACATTGATTGGGGGATATCGCATCCTGAACTTCCGGACTGCCTCCCTCCTCTTGACCGACTTCCAACTGCATCCGCTCCCCAACGGCCGCGGCTTCATCCGTGCTATACGACCCCGACGGCAAGTTAGCGACGGGGTGGCGATCGTTCCTATTCGACAACCCCCCCCCCGTTCTCAGCTACCCGTTGTTTCTTATCCATTGGGATGTCGATCGCTCCCTATTTCTGATCGGAGCGTTTCTTACGTTGTCGCCAAGATTCGAGCTATTTCTTAACCCTAATTTCTCGCTTTTCGTGAACTTTTGAACCTTCCTTACCTGCGGGCCCGACGTTACGGGACAACAGAAAATACGAATATAGCGTTGAAGATGTATTTTAGCAGGTACGCTCTGTCATAAACATCCTTTTGCAATACCTTCTCCTAGCCGTTGGTCAGAGAGCATCATCCCCCTTCCTCTTACATTCGTCGCGCGTGTGTCTGCAACACGCACTCCGATTGAAATATTTGCTGCTGCTGTGGTTTCATCGTGGTTTACGTACATCCTTCACACATACATACGAGGACCATGAAATCCTTGTCAAGCCAAAAATGAAACGAGAAGAGTTCGCGTGGGCTCGAACAGAGGACAAGTCACGCATGGGTACAGAACACATTCAACAGAAATATTTGTCAGTATCGCCTGTGCGTCCACTATTCCTTCCTCTGCCGTCGATCACAGTTTCAGAATACGACTATAGCACCAGAATACACTCTCATGATCACACCCGGAGTGAGAGGGCGGACCAAACCAGCGCTGACCTCAATTTGTTTTTCTCGCCGAAAATAGCCCGTCCGGAGAGGGGAGAAAGAAAGGCAGGGCACCCAGAGGAGCTTCCCCCAGCGTCGTGGACGTGGTATAGAGTCGTGTTGTTCCAGTGGAAGGCTGCCCGCGTTGCCGCACGTGTTTACAAATCCACAGCACACTCACCCACTGGGTTCTTGAGAGAGTGGATAGCATATGTGGCCAAGGGGCCGAAAAAGGGATTCGTGTAGCTTCAAGACACACCGTGCACTCTCTGCAGCAAACAACCAACAGTAATGGACCGCTGCACGACATGCGCATATAGAAGAACCAAGCCTCACGCCCAACTCTGCCAAGAGGATATTTTTGTATACCTACTTCTCCGCATTGTTGGTGAACGGGTCCCTCTTGGTTTAGTCAACCCCCACAATTCAGAGGGCGAAGTACGAACGATGCCTCTGGTCCGATGCAGAGAGCGGAACTGAAACTTGGAGGGGGTGATGGCTTGTGGTGCTCTACCAAGGCATGCCAAGGGTGTCGCGAGATGTGGGCCTTAGCTCCAGATTGGCGTTTGAGACCCGATCAATCACGGGAGCATTTGCGTATGACAATACTACAATTCGTTCTTGATACGTAGCATGCATATTTTTCATAGTGGGAGCCTGCAGCCACGGGCACGCGAAAGTGCCAATTTACTTGAGGCATCGCCGGTGTCGTAGATATTTTTGTACAACGACTGCATGGTTGGATTGATGTGTTCCGACAAGGAAAAGAGAGAGTCATCAATCATCAATGTCAAGCTGACATGCTGCGAAATGCGGCGGAACATACTTCCGCGTCGCGATGTTGCAGCGGTGTGGCCCGACCTCTCGTCGGTTGGCAAAATTGGTAGACACAGCTATTCCAGCGTAAGGACTTGCCCATCCAGCCGCAGGATGGGCGGGGCTTCAATTTGGTGGAGGATAGGCAACGTCTACGCCAAAATTCATCGAGATCGGAGCAATTTTGTGCCGGACACACCTGCTGCATGCTCGTTCGTCTTTCGTCCTTGAGAAGGCCGGTCACTGTCACAGCCAAACAATGATGTAGGAGGCGGCAATGAAGCTGAAACTTGCCGAAGGCGTCCAATGTAGTGCAGGACGGCCGATGATCAGATTCCTTGCGCCTCGGGCGTTCGTGTGAAGCAAAGTACGTGGTTCGGAGCTTCGGCGTGAACGTGATCATTCACACTTTTTGTTGCCGTTCTGTGAGACCTCTAGGGACCGAATCGGTCTCGTAGAGGAAAAGATTCGAATCATCAACAATCAATGCTGTTGTGCGTGTCTTCCATCCGAGCCTACATGCACCGCCAGTCACTGCCTTGTGTATAATGTTCCTTCCACCCTCACCGGTCCTTTCATCTATCTCCGACGCGCCGACCGATAAATAATTGGTATCGCAGCTTGCCTCGGGCAACTGTGCTGGTCCCATACGAGTTATTCTCGTTATTAGGTAGTTGTGTAGATAAATTCGGACTCGAAACTTCTCCTAACAGGAAAACAGATTTTGAGTGAAACCATCGTTCTGAGGATTGTTTCTGACAGTCTCATCACAGAACCCACCACAAGGGAAAAAATCCAGGATAAGAACCGGCCTCGAGACGGGAAATGATGTATGCAAAGAGATTGAACAGCGGGACTTTCAATTTCATAGTAGATAGGCAACTATGTACGCGCAAACCTTGTCGAGATCGGAGTGAAAGTGCCTTACAAATA